AAAAGCGCGTTCTTTGCGATAAAATTGACATTGTCGATCAGGCGTATGCAAAAGCGTTGTAATTTTTTTGACCTTATTATACAATATACACTTAAGTCAATAGAACAGACTGTAATATTAATTTCCCACCATCGTAAGTGGAGTTTTTTAGGGAAAAACATCTCAAAAATGTTAGGAACCTAGAATTACACAAAACGCCAAATTTTCAGTAGAAACTTAATAATTCTACATTTGATTAATTGAAGCCTTTTTCTTTGAAATATTCTATAATTGGGATTGAAAGTTGCATATAAACCACTAATTTTCAAAGTTTCACATCAAAAAATGAATTTTTGGTCGTTCCACTGTGCACTAGATCTCAAAAGTGCTCATCACCCATTTTGTAAATCTATCTAGTGCAGTTTTTTGTATTAGATGTATATCGTACTGGAGTCGATCCGCCTTGACTCTCACAAGAAAAGTAAGCTTCGCCGTTTCTGTTCTTGAGATGTTTCACTTTGTCGAAATTTAATGAGCTTTGCTTAAAATCGGGTAAGCAATTTTGCAATAAAAATGGTCAGTTTTCACTCAGAATCGACAAAATTCTGGTTTTAAGGTAAAAGATCATTGAAACTCTGATAGACTAACTTCTGGGTCTCTCAAAGACTTCTTAGATGGTTTTCCAGAAATGTTTTTTACGGTGAGATATGCCTCGTCATGGTGGTTTAACTGCAGCTGCAGAAACCCACTTGGAATTTGAAGAAAACTTCTTTAAAAGACTTACAGATAACATCCATTGTCATTCTCTTGTATAAACTATAAATATTAAATTCTTCATTTTTCTCTGCAAAATCTGCTACTTTTTTCATTAATTCATTAATACTATCATTGACCAATGGTGACATTTGTTTCAATTTTACAGCTGAAAATGTCGGATTAATTACCAGACGTTGACGTTTCCATCGTAAATTATGTGCATCAAACAAATGTACAAATTCTGAATTTGATTTTGTTGAAAACAGATTTGGCTTACGACCATTGAAATTTGAAAATTGTTTTATAAATACTTCATGAAGAAAGTCAACATCAGAGACAACGTAAACCGGTAACGAACCTATATTAAGACAAACTTTTAGGTATCAAAAAATGTAACATAACACACGTAACTAACCTTCAAATAAGCCATAGATTTTACCAAATTCTTTTGTCCATGATTGAAGCTGACGTGATAATAATTTAGAATTCCATAGAATTTTTAAATTTCCATAAAAAAATTCTAATTTCGGTGTCGGAATATTTCTTGATTTAAAGTACTGATAACGACTCTGTAGAATAAGACAATAGGATACAATTAGAATTAAAACTATTGTAAATAAGATTAGTGTTAACGTCATTTC